GATGTTCCCTAAGAATATTAAATTGGTGGTGGTAAAACAGGATCCTAAACGTGGAAGTCATGTAACAGACTGGAATCGAAAGTATCTACGCCATGCTATGGCAACGGCAACTGAAATAAGGAGGTTGCATCGTGAGGACGGATGGCAAGCGCCTATCCAAGCGGTTCTCTCAAGAAGACGTCGTAACGGGTGTACGTCGACGAGGAGGAAAACGGAGACGGCACAAGCACACCTCGAAGAACTCCCCCAAACGCTTAAAAATCAACCCAGTTACCTGGAAAGACTTCGCCCAGGGCCGACTAACCTGGAGAAGAGCAGTGAAAACTGTGGCCGCAATCTACGAAGTCAACCATATAACCACTGCAAATCCAAAAGGGGGGCCCGCAAGTTGCAACTGCCACAGACTTTTAACCCCAACAAAACAGCAATACCAACAGATTCACTCTGTGGATGAAAGCTTCGTGCACGAATCGCCCACGTCGAACATCTACGAACGTGATGCGATAACGACGCTGCAAATCCATCTCATACCTTCTCAAGCTCCCTTGTTGTCACTCCCTTCTACAGCTCTGTGTGGAACTCGCGGCTGGGACCCTTATCACAGCCCGTGTGCATCCTCGCTCTACGTAGCTGCCTTCGTTGTCGCTCGCCAACCCTATCATCAATGTCGAAATCACCAAGACGATAGCAACAACGACTGTCGTCAGTCCGACCCCAACCATCGATGAGAAAACTCCCAACGCCTCGTCAACCACCAATGTGACCCTTAACACCCCACCACCAACAATGCGGACTGCGATTGCGCCTTAACACTACTCACCCGCTTGGCCGGTCACTTGGTAATCCATCGGAACACGACAGCGCCACAGTGCTGGGAGCTCCAACATACACCTGCTGCACCTACCTCAACTGTCTGCCCTGTTCACGCACATCCACTTACCGTGTGGATTTATTCGGCCACATGCGCGAACACGGGCGGAGGCGGAATTCACCGCAAAGCCGACATGCCGAGCCCAAGCTACATATACGACAACTCTCTCATCCGCAGTACTACACAATTTCTCGCCACTGGCGTTGCCATCGCTGTAAACATCGCCGCGGCCAACATCGCAGATACCAACATGATATGTTCACTACGTCGCCGCACAAGTACATCGCGTCCGGTCCGGTCGGTCATCTGTGAATGCATCGCGCAGGGACCGGTCAGCCAGGGCCTGGAGCTCCAATATATAGCCTTCGCCTACGCCTCGACTGGCCGCATTGCCCACGCACATTCCTTCACAAAATTGGCCTGCTTGGCCACGCTCGCCTTCACGAAAATCTGCGGTAAACCATGACAGATTAAACCCCATCACCACCCATATCCCCATCAGAGAATTTGCAACTGAATATCGACAAACTAAGTGTTTGCTCAAACCGATGGTTTTTAAAATTTAATGTACCGAAATGTGTTGTCATTCATTAAAACGCCGACGGAAGTGCCCTCCTAAACATCAGTACTATGTCTCCGAGACACCATTTAAAGATGAAGAAAGACGTAGAGACCGGGGCCTACATACGACCACAAATCTAATGACGTCAGAACATTGTAAGAAGATGATTCAGAAGCCAACTAGCACTTTACACTGGATCAGACGTACATTAAATATATCTCCTCCTGAACTCCTCAAGATAAATCTCGACGTTTTTATAAGACCGCACCTGCAATATGGAGTTTAAACAGCCACATCATGGCATGGCTTATTCTCTCTATCTTACAAGCAAATAACCTGCAGTCTACTTTGGACGTTCCGGACTGTTCGTAGCCATATTTGCTCACTGAGACCGGAGGATTTCTTCAAGTCATTCCGTACAAACAGATTACGCGGCCCTTCCCACAGAATTAAGAGCGAACGTACGTGGCCACACCGTAGGAAGTTTTCGTTCAGCCACCGGTTTTTCCGGTCATGAAACTCGTTACCAGGTGAGATGGTGCCGGCGTTTGAAAGGAAACCCACTTACATAATTTCCGACGGAGACCGAGCTTTACAGCATGGCCGCTCACTGCCAGGTCTCTAAAAAACTGTCATATACAATCTCTCTGCATTGACCCACAGTGAACAGATGCGATTCCTTGTTATCAGTGTTGCATCGTGAACCAACCGCGTTTGAAATGTCCGCAACTTTATTTTGAGTGTGAATATGCGAAATAATTGTACACAAATAGGGTCATCAAGGGTTCTGCCTGTAACCCTTCGACCAATACATAACTACACAAACCAACACATTTGAGACAAATGATTATGTCCGTCCGACATCTCAAGTTATAAGCACAGACAGGGTACCTCTCATGTAAGTGGGACATGTGTTCTTCGGATTCTTTGCCATGCCGCCCATATGCTACTCGAGCATTTTGTGAGATCCTGGCGTGTCGCGCGGAAGCGGGGTCATGTTTGTAGGCTAGCTAAGATCTGTCGGGCAGAGGCAGCGATAAAACCTGAAGAAAAACTACGCTAAACTACTTTCTCTGTTAAAACCTGTGTGTAAGCTAACTACTACGTACTTGATGGTGCCAGTGTTTCTAATACTGGGGATAATTCGTTTATCTGCACAATTTCAATAATTCTTCTAAAGCTGTTTAACGACTCCGCTTTCAACTGTTTCACGTACCTCCCTCTTTTGTAACAAATAGGGAGTTCATACGAGACCTTTATCCATTTGCAACACGAATATGTAACTAAGGCGTGGATCCAGTGTGCGAAAAGGAATTATAAGCCGCTGGAGAGGACCCAGAGAAGCGTGAAGAAAGTCGTTAAACAATGGCTTAAGTGCCTTAAGCCATTATCGTACAAATGCAGACTTGATTCGCTTAACCCTTTTTCCCTTTAGTACAGGGCTATCTGAGGAGATCTCATCGAGACATGCTACTCATGTAGAATCAGGACTGTTCTACGCGCTTCGATAATTTCTTCTCATTGGCCACAACAACTAACCTGTGCTGGAATTCCATGAAACTTCGAGGAACCTTGTCCCGTCTGGATGTTCGTCGTCACTCGTTCCTGGTGGGTGCCTGGAATGGACTTACCCAGGAAGTAATAGTGGCGGACACATCGAAGACACTCGACCATAAACTGGATGCATATTTGCTTGCAAAATACCGTTAGGCAGCCAAGAACAGCTCTGTTACACCAAACCAACGTTTTGTTAACACCTACAGATATCGCTGATAGCCATATTTTCGCATTGAACCGGGTGCCTGAGGGTGTCCGGATTCAGTCCCTACGGGTACAACATTTTTGAAAGTGCTTATGCTACTGAAGACATGGTATTGGCACGTGCGTTTTGATTTGAATATTGTTCGTACAGTTTTTAGCGGGGTGTTTTAGGACAATGCCTAGAACCCTTAAACATACAAAAGTATTGTATATGGATTTCAAGAGAAAGTGCCATTCTAATAATTCTGGTGCCCAGATAAGGCATAGGGAAAAGATTTTCTGTGAACGAGTCCGTGACCCATTTAATGCATTCCGACATAGTATAATCCCACTTTTCTGGGGTCTGAGGATGTAGCACAGTTAAACTAGGCATTCAACTGCTGAGAAACGATCTGCGATTTCGCGATTAATGATCTTAACAAAAAGTACACTGCAGCCCCACTACATGATCCGTCGCAAACAAAACTGACAGATGGAGTAAGACGGCAAAAAGAATATCGTAATCAAAACTGGACGTGAACTGCGGATGAAAACTACCCCCGACCAAAACTTTAATGAGGCATGATAGTTAAAAATGCGTCACGAGACGATCCCAATAAACCGAAAGCGTGCATGGGGACAGGACGGGGCAGAAATGCAAGAAGACGTCTTTCATTTTACGGGCATAGCGAAAGGTCACGGAGACAGAGGCGTGCCGCATGCTAAGTAGAGATATTTTTTGGTAAATATAAAGTATATAAGAGTGCAGTTTTAGTAGGCAAGCTCTTCTTTAACCTGCCTTAACTTCCACATGAAAAACACTGGCTACCTCCTTGTCTAACTTATTCCATGATCTGATGACGCGCTCCCATCGTGTCCCCTGTCTAGTTAATGGATTTATTTCAGGCTTGAACAGCTGCAGGGGAAGTCAACTGAATGCAGAATAAGCCCAAAATTACATCATGGGTTTAAGGAAGTATCTTGTAAGTCTTGACCATATGCGTATGCGACCCTCTATCGGACATGGTGGGAAGGTTAAACCCCTGTAGGCGACTTGCAGACAACCGCTTCAGAAGTTTCCTTGGTAGTGAATAATCTATGCACCCGCAGTGTCACACGTGAGACCTAAAGAGCAGGTTTGTGAAGATTGTCTGAGTTGCAGTTGAACAAAAGTTTTTAGATTATGTGGGAAGTCATCCTGTGATAAGTTGAAAGTTTGTTAAAGCGAGGAAGGGTTCAGTGCATGTTTTCGCAACAGTCTGCATTAATTAATTTCCCAGCAAATATTTAACGGTGGTAGTATGACGCATTTCTGCGGAAAAACGCGCCGTTGGGATAATCTTATTTCCCGAGGTCGTGTTTTGACGCAGTTTCATATTAACACCTGAGTTTCCTACAGCGGTTGCTTTTCTTCATGTGTGCAATAAGATCCGTGCACTCGTGCCCTTCTTAATCAGGCACGATCATGCGTTTCGCCTGAAGGTTTGATATCACCGATTTGTAAGAGATGATTATTCGAAAATATCTCAGATATGCAATTTGAATAGATTAGAAAGAGTAATGGGCGTAGCACTGATAGGGTAGAAAGTCATTGTGAGCTGATAATTTTGAGAGTTCCCCATTCCTTCATGCATGCAAAGAAATGTTGTCCCATTTCAGTGAGTAAGAGAAAAAGGAGACTTGTACTCTTAAATTCCTTAATGGTTGCATAATAACCAAAAATGCTGAAAGCAGTACTAGAGCATTACAGCGGTGTGTGAAATCGAAGTCTGGGAAATGCCACTCAGGGATGTGTTTGAAATGTTGGCGGACAGATTTATCACATTCACTACAGGGAGGTAACTGCATTATTCTAATTCTCGATTCTAGAAAAATAAGTTTTGCCTGTAGTAGAAAAGAATATAATAGGTTTATTATAGCACTTATTAGGTGCCACAAGTCTCTTTTGAACACAGGAAAAAACCCATTTCGACTTCATTTTGACTTCATTTGTTTTCTGGGTCTGCTCAGTCAACAGAGCGCGAATTGGGAGTTCGTTTTAAGTTAAAACAACCTAAATTCTACGGCAAAATTTCGGCGAAAAATAGAAAAAAAAACGATATATACAATAAGCAGATCGAGGTTTGGAGTATGGTACTTTTAAGGGTCATGAATATCTCGCAATTTGTGGAACTTGAAGAACTTTGTCATCAGTATGACGTTGAAATTATTTTCAGTTGATCAAATTTAGGTGTCGGCTAATTCCCGGTTGTCACTTTATTTAGGCAGTTGCTTAAGGCTGGTCGTATCGTCTGTTTTTGTCTTCCAGAAGGCTTATCATAAGTGTCTGGACTAGCAGCTGACAAAGATGAGTATACATCAGGAACACGAAACATACAGTGATAGATAACATTCAAAGATACAACAATAATATGGAATCAGGCATCGTATTGTTCCTGATAATATGACATTATAGGAGTACTGGTGGATTGTTTAATAAAATCTGGTAAGGTTTCACATAGATTTAATATGGTCTGAATATAACCTAACGGACAACTAGTATGTAGGACTTTGTCGAAAGGCATATTAATAGTAGTTGCTTAGGGGTCTTTAGTGTCAGGTGAGTTGGCCGATGGAAACTAGAAAAGGAGGAAGGAAGGAATATCTCTACTTGTGGTATGCCTATAAATTATGTACTAAATGAGGTGCACGTGGTTCTGAAATGTATCTGCAGACGTTTGTTGTGGTCACGAGGACAGAAAAAGTTCCTATGCGAAGGCGTAGTCCAAATGACGCGCAACCTCTAAGGATTGCGGTTAATTGCCACACAGAGATTGAGGCCTTACAATCACACTAATTTTTAAAAGGTTGATCTCCTCTGGCAGACTTAGGAGCTGATACCTATGCCTTCTAGGTTGAGCTTCAAACTACTGCGTTCAGGGTCACCACACATGAACAATATTCAGACGGCATTGCCACAGGAATGTCTTCGTGAAAGTCGGGTGTATTTGTGGGTGATGCACACCGCTTTTGGAGGATAAGTCCTCAAAAAAGCCACGAACCGCCACCTAATCGTCCCCGCCACTGAATATACGGATTTTGTTTGCACTACAGCAGTACGTGGATGGTCCTTACATGTTCTTTATAGAAAAAATCGAGATCATCAGGGTTGTTTGCGAGTTGGGGGGCATATCGTCCATATAGCACGTATGTATACCGTAACGAAGGGTGGTAGGCTGGAAGGCGAACATCGCTGCCCTCAGCAAGACTCGCTTCTCAAAAAAAACAACTAGAGGAGGTAAGCATCAGCTTGACCTTTTTGGAGCTGTCACCGAAAACGGACCGACGCGACACCAGCGTCGCCTTTGCCATCCGGAACGACATTGTTCAACGTCTGTTCTTTCTGCTACGGGATGTCAACGACCGCCTGATGAGCTCGCGTCTGCCTCTCCAGGAACCATATTTGCCAACATCATCAGCGTCTACGCCCTCTCCCCAATGACTAGCTCCGACGAGGCGAAGAACAAATTACATAAGGACCTGCACGCAATTGTAAGGACTGTACTGCAGACGGACGAGCTGATCATCCTTTGTTACCTCAATGTCCGGTTCGGGACAGACCACGCTGCCTGGGGAAGCGTGCTGGGGCCTGATAAAATCACCGGCCTGAATGGCAACGCTCCACTTCCTCGGCGAACCTGCGCAGAACCTCACCTACTCATGACCAACGCCTTCATCCGCCATCGCACGCATGAAAAGGCAAGGCGAGTGCACACGAGGTCACAACGCTGGCAACTGCTGTACTACGTTCTCGTTCGTAGGCGAGATTGGTAGGTTGTACTGGGGGCGTGGGCGTCTTGGGCGCCGACAGAAAGACTGAATATTACTCGGTTATCCGCTGTGGCTGATGGACTTCGGTCCAAATATTCATACACAAAAACTTAGGTCTATGCCTATAGACCTTAAATATACTGATCTACTCGAAGTTCACAGTTAATTTCTAAGGAAATTAAAAAGCTACAATACATAGATATTGACACAAAGACCTAAGCCAGACGCAGCAGCATTTTGTGCGCCAGAAACGCAGTAAAAATAACATAATTTGCCCAAGAAAATTCCTACGGGAAATCGAAATATGTTTGAAATTGAGACTCCGCACTGTCGTCGGCAAAATAGTAATTTGCTTATCGAGCGGCTCATTGGAATACCTCCCAATTATAGCTTTCGGGCTGTAGCCGCAAGGATACATAAGAAGCACTGCGCTACCAAATTCTGCTTACCGTCCGATGTGACAGACAGGTAGTAAAGAAAATGGGTCCTTTTCTAACTAGAATTTTATATGTAAAACATACAAAGAAAGATGAAAGTTTGGCGAGTTAATGTGCAATAACGTTGAGAACAAAGCTAAACTAAAAAGGCATTCGTTTCGCCTTGCCTGTCCAGAAGATATTTCCTTGAAATAACAAGACCATCGAGACTTTGGATGAACTAGGCGATCTTCGATTTTAGAGACGGAGGGTTTTGAAGGCTAACTGGTACATCAATGACACCGCTCGTCATCTGCACGAGAAAAAGTTACTTGGAAAATTCAGGATATGAATAACAGCTTCACAGTCCAACGTCTATATCGAGACATTGACGAACATTTAGTTTACAAAGCGCCACACACAAGGATTAACTCAGTTCGGCCAGAGCCGATAGGACAGGCGGGCAGAGTCACGCGGAGTCGACGGACTACTCTGACGGCAAAATGCCATGTGACCAGCGTGAGCCACCGAATAATCGATGCGACCATGAGGCCGAAGGTAAATCACACGGGCAGCAACGGCCGATCAGTCTGCTGGCCAATGAGAGGGAGGCGGTCAAAAGGCATGCCGACTTGGCTACAATTACAAACGCCACAAAGGCCATAAGGGTCACGCGAGCCCGATAGCGATCGTCCTTGGAAAGGTCAAGGCTAGCCAATAGCAAGCGAAAAATTCGGCGAGGTTTGGTTCTGCAGTCCCACCTGAGTGATACCATAAAAACAATTTTAGTTAACATACCTAACTTAGCCACGCTCTGAATTAGGAAAGAAAAGAGAATGCAAGCAGAGCTCGAAGCACGAGCTGGGAAGGGAGTGAAGGTGGCGTACACACACTCCCTCCCCCGACACAGCCACTCGCGGAATGTTGAGGGTGCAATCACAACTGGAAGGCCATTGTGGGAACCGCATGGTAATCCGCAGGGTATGGCCACTGCAGTGGAACCGGACGGATTTCCACACCGTAAGAACAATTCCACTAACAAGTCTTCTTGACCACTCGCTGGGTAATGCTAATAAAGAGAGCGCAAACAGGGCTGGAAACAGGCGAAGGGAGGCGCGTGTGGACTGACGCCTGAGGTAACCGAGGCTGGCGTATAAGAAGATTCCTCTCCCCCCTTTGAGGCACAGTCACTCGCTGGCTTTAAGTGGTAAGAAAGACGCAAGTACGTGATATTTGTAAAGTCAGCTTCTTCGCACCTACCAAGATTTTTTTAGAAACCTAACCACATGATATCACTCAAGTGGGGATGCAGGACCAAACCTCGTCGAAAATTCAAAGTTTCTGTGTCGGACATGATTACAGTACGAGCTAGGTGGAAAGGCAGAATGACGCAAGGCCAGCAGGAACATCGGACATACTACTCTGATGGCGGAAACAGTATAAATGTCATCCTACGCGAAAACGCCGAAGAAAACATGAAAAGGGACTTGAACTCGATGTTCCGGCATTCTTAGTTCATGATGGAGAAGGAGAAGGACAGAGTGCTTCCATTCCTCGATGCCATGGTATAGAGAACGGAAAATTAAACTCTCAAGACCGGTGTATTCCGAAAAGCGACAAAAACAGATAAAATCTTTTATTACCACAACAACAACCATCCCATCGCATGAATACAGCTGCGTCCGAACACTTTTTCGCTGCAGCGACACACACTGCAGCACAGAGACCAATAAACCGCGAAAGCATAACTCTGTATGACACCTCCTCCTGGTAACAATCGGGAGAGGGCCCCCAAACATCCATTGACTAGAAAGAATACCTACTATTGCTATTTGAGTAGGTATTAGCCCGACACAATTGTTGTTTTATCTGACCTGCAGTCGGTATGCTGCTTCATCTACACTGATGGATTACTGAAAATAGTTTACGTTAACAACACCGCTAAATGTTTACTTTTTGTTTATCCTGCCCGTTTTCTGTTGCTATATACCGATGCATTAGAACTTTTCGGTTCGAAAAGCAAATTTACCATAAATCCATTATTACTTTGGCTCTATTTACGCATCCGTAGGTCCCACCCATAAAACCCCTATTACCACCTTTCCCGTAAAACAGGCCGCTTTGGCTGGTAGTATTTTTTTCGGGCCCTCTCCCGATTGTTATCCTCTTCCTAACCAGTGCATAGAACGTATCTTCATCAATAAATTCTTGTACCAAGGACATGCGAGGAACGTCTCCGTAGCCAGGGGACGCATGCTTAGGCCATGGGCGTTGGACACCGACCGGAGGCCACCTTCCACGGCTTACTCATGCAATGCAATAGCCGACTACCACCTGCGGACACATAAAACGTCATTTGACGCGTCAACTGTCAAGATTGTCTGGCTAATTACGGCGGCACGACCGAAGAGCGACTAAGAACGCGCATGCATCAGCATGCTTTGGCTGTAAAGCGAAAAAGTGCGCGATAGTCCGTAACCATGTACAATCTGGAAAATAATCATAGACTCGACTCTGACGGTGGTCAAGTGCTCGGCTGAGGCGAAAACAAACAGGTGATAAAAATAACCGAGGCTTGCTAAGCAGAAGTCAGCTCGGGCAACGATGACGTTGACCTACCAGCGTCGTTTGAGGCTGTCAGGCAGCGCTTACGCACGAGAGGAACGCCAATAGGAAGACGGGCTTGTGGACTTGTCAAGCGTGAGTAAGAAATACCTAATTAAATAATGTATTTCTCATTATGCTGATGGAAGCGAAGAGACAAGTTCCAGGCAGTAGCCGTGGAGAAGGAGAAGGCTAAAAAAGCACTTGTTCCAGCGATCGTGTCCCCTTCTCCGCGATTTCTCATTCCGCCTATCTCTAGCAATGCCCTCCAATATGAGCGCGAAAATTCAAATGGTTTAACCATCTCTCCCAATGATCTTTTTATCCCCTTCTTCCATATAGATGTATATATTACGGCAGATGGGCACTCGCCGATTAGGTTACAGAACGTGTTCGTTCCGTTGTGCCTTGGGGCTCATACTAGAGCCCTCGAAGACAATCGCACAGCGACTAGTAGTAGAAGTAAATGACGTAGTACCAGCAAAGACAAGGGAGATTGGAATGACCATTTCTGGCTTATAATTCGTTGTCAGCCAATCATGCCCAACTCCTAAATGTGGAACACCTGGGGTTCAATCCCACGACATGTTGGTTAGAAGTCCAGCGCTTCTGACCACTGAGTCACGGACTCGTTGTTCTGTTGTATACATATAGTGGTAGAAGGGCGCTCAAAGATCGCACTACGGTTGTGTCTTGGGAATCTCTCTCTCCCTCGAGCCCTTTCAGCAGCCGCAGGGCGGCGCTGTGCCCATTTGTGCCCATTCCTCCTCACCATTGTCTCATGTTCGGAAATCCGCGACCGGGGCAATCGCCCAACTTTTCTGACGCAGTTACTTGAACTGTGGTAAAAGACCCCAGGCCTCCCTGTGTGGCTCATGCTGTTTTCATCCGGTCCGTGTGCAAACCCAAACCCAGGTGGCGTGGGAAGGCGACTGACGACATCCGTGACCTCGTCAAAATTTGGGACCGGCGTCACCCTGGTTTTTTTTGTATCGTTCGTGTATGCACCGACTGATGCAGTTCCGTAGGTATTTGCAATTCAGTGGCCTTGTCTACAGGTTCACTACAATGCGTCTCACCCCGCCGGTATAACCTTCTTATGCAAATGCGTTTGTGGCTGATTAGGTGGCTACTGTTGGCGTTCGGCACATATGTGGATTTCCAGAGCAGTTTAGCACAATCTTTGCGGCAGATGGGAGCATCAAGGAAGATTAGCTGATTGTTTTTTCCCTCTCTTTCGTCCACCAGTCTTATCTGTGACCATTTGAGTGTGATTCCGAAATGTCAGGTGATTACAATTTTGGCTATAGCGATCGCCTCTCTTTCCTCGAAATTTCACATATGCATGAAATCTAAATGGAGTGGATTTTTTGAGGTAAGATTTTTAATAATTTGCTTCTGAGTGAAGGTTTTCTCAACTTATGTTAGGCTCCTTAGTAAATGTACCTTCACTGATGCTGGGAATGACCGCCGTACTGAACATTGAAACTGAGCAACACTTCCTGCCTTGTTTAGGAATGGAAGTGCAGACAGCTTCTTTAAAGTATTTGTAATTGTGCTCCTAATCTTACCTTATCGGATGGTACTCTGGGCTAAAAACGTAAAATACTGTCATCAGGGACAATCGGAGTTGGCTAATTATCCACACAAACATTAGGACTCGATGCCTCGATAGATTTACAATGCTCAAATCCTCTCATCTACATCAAGTCCACTAGAATGAGTGAATACCTTTTGATATTGCTAAGGATGGTTAATGAAAAGGAAATCGAAACTAATACGGATGTCAGAACCTATTTTACTGATTCTCCAAACCTACGCGACGCACCGTCATCTGACTGGTTAAAATTTTTAAATTCGAATTTCTCTATCCGATTACCTTATTCGGGATAGAGTCGGTGAACATGCAAGTCGGCAGTACTCGGATGACATCGTATCGTTGAAGACCTAAGAATTGCGTTCTTGAAACAACTGAAGACTACCAACTGACACAGTCTACAGTTTTCAGGGAAGCCAGTGTGAAAATTTCCATCTCATAAGCAGCGCAGTCTCTTTCCGCTGATTGGTGGAAAATGATTACAATTTTCCTGGCCTGCTACGGTCTGAAGTATTTGTGCGGGTAGATGTCAAGTGAGGAGTAAATGCCTCCGAGACAGCCGTAAACTGAGCACCTGTTAGAAGTTTTCGGCTATTTCACTTTCGTGATGAATATGCTGACGGTGAGGACAGAATCCTTCGGCATAATTACTGTTCGTACGTGCCAGAACCTGATCGATGAAAGCCCTTTTCTACTATTGGGAATATTTCAGATCACAGGCCACAGGACAGCGTCGGACTTAACACTCCGCGGCCGATGGAAGTGGAATGAACCCGAGGTATGGCTGGCTGACGAAGGCTAGCAAACCAGAAAGGGTAATATTAACCTCACCTGCCTTTTCGTTATTCTTTCCGGCTAAAGGTCCATGCCCAGAGTAGGAATTGTGGTTCATATCCACGAATATCGTTTGCAGCCACACAGGATGAAGACTAAGTTAACTGATAGTCCTGACAGTGAAAATACGGGCCTGAGAATTTTCCTCCGTATATGCACATAAAAGGGGAAAATATCCTAAAATGTGATTTGTCTTCTTGCTGTAAATTGAGGTCTTAAATCCACTTGTTACACACACTGCGTGGAAACTTTGGGTCCCCCAAACGGGCCACGTGGTCGATGCGTTAGACCAACAGGGGGGGGCATATCAGGTTCTGACAGGCGTTATTAGAATATAGACCAAAACAAATGCCAACATTTCGGGATGCGGTGACAGACCCAGTTTCCTGCAGAAGTCACGCACATTGCGACCACTGCGGACCTCCCCATTGTTGCCGTTAGTCAAAATCGTGGTTATTTGCTGTGTGGACCAGGGGGTGTGGAGTGGAACGTCAAGGTGCGGACTCGACCGGTGTCCTCCTCCGCCTCCGGTCTTCTTGACTCTGCCTTGACACCAGGCCCAGGTAGGAGAGGAGGAGAGAGTGCAATAGGTGTCGTGCAAGTCCACTATCACTATAAACTAGTTCACGCACAAGTCTCCGTCCCTGCCCTCACCCTGCTGTGGAGCACACGGTGGCCACTGTCGGTCAGGACGGTCGCACTATCTTGTGGAAACTTCCCAAGGGTGCCTTCAAATTACCATGTAGATAAATTCGACTGGTTCTCAAAACAAACTTACAAACTCTGAAGATGGTAGGATAATTGCAAATGCAAGCGAACGTCTTAAAAGACAGAAAGATTGAAATTTTGCTCAATTTCGGGCCTTAACTTTAAAAATGACGCCAGTCCCTTTATGAAATGAGTAAAATACACTAGGTGGGCTAACTCAGGAAATATCAACCGAAATTCCGAAATGCGTAATCGTTTCACAAGGATTAATTAAATAGGGTTGTAAAATTAGCCAGCTTGCAACATAATGCTATAATATTTCAGTTACCTCAAAATGCCGGATTTCGAATGAACTTCCTTCCGGCTGCATGCAAAATCTATTCTCTGTTAAAAACTACTATTTATGTAGCATGAATTTTTCTCATTGGTTTTTGCTGCCCCTAAAAATTCAACCATATTTCATTGAAAACATGCATAAAACTATTCATTCTTTTGCTCATTCGGTAGAAAATTACGTCTTCTCAGTTTATTCTCAAAGGAGGGACATAATTCGGTTTTAAAAAAGTTCCTAATTGTGGGACTTTTAAATACCGTGATATGGCCGTTCATAAATCATCATGTCTCTGCATTTACCAATTTGGCTTGTAAGGTAACAATATGGATCAAATCTACTGCTAAATTTCATGAACCCTGTATGGTGTTCCCTTATTACGGTAGAGAAATGTGTGGATTTCCGTACGCGGAAAATATACGGTTTGTAGTTTGGAAACCCTGAATCCAAGTGTAACGGTAGAGTGAGTTCAATATTATTCGGGAATTCAAAAAGTTTTTGAAAACCGATTTATATTCTTCCTTCGAGTATAAGATTGGATAAAGACGTAATTGTCTACCGAATGAGCGAAAGGATGAATAGTTTTATGCATGTTTTCCATGAAATATAATTGGACTTTTAGGGGCATCGAAAATCAATGAGAAAATTCATGCTACTTGAGCAGTCGTTTTTTACGGGGTATAGTTTTTGCATGCAGATGGAAGGAAGTTCATTCGAAAGCCGGCATGCTGAGGTAACTGAAATATTATAGAATTATGTTGCCAGCTGACTAGTTTTTCAACCCTACTTAATTAATCTTTTCGAAACGAAGACGCATTTCGCAATTTCGGTTGACACTTCATGAGTTAGCCCACCTACTGTATATGAACTTCACGTAGGTAGAACAGCATTTCCGGTTTGTTAGTCGCCATCAGCCAGTCACACCCAGTCTCGAGACATTCAACTCCTGAAGCTCGGAATCACCACTATCTGGAGCTCCGAAACTGTTCTCTGACTCGCAATACCAAATTCCTCGGCAGAATTCAAACTGGTGAGTTCAGTGACTAATAAAGTCAGCTGCGTTTCACCTTCAGGATGCAAACCAGGCTGTCTGGGTTTTGCGCCAGTAGCATAATGCAAGGGTTGCCTCCTTCCTCTAACCGCCTGGAACACGTGGCTCATCTCTCCAGATACGGAATCAGGCTGGAAGTCCGCTCGCGGGCTCAACGAACTGCCAGCGAGGAGATGGATCCAATTTAGGACCCCAGGTGAGGGGCTTCGATTGCCAACCGCTTGAAAAAATTGTTCCATGACATTAGAAATCGAGAAGACAGAGTTGACACAACAGTCCTTATTTTGAGTGAGAACACACAGCTGTTAGTGAGCACTGCCAGGAGTGCGTTCGACTCGCGTGAGCTATTAAAACGTGCAGACCATTGGCGGGTTAGTACGATCGATAATGCGACACCACGTGAAGAACACGTCAGACAAAACGGCCACGCTAAAACGGACTCAGATGTCAGCGCCGCCCAGTGAAGGCGAGGGGTTAAAGGTCAGTATATGGCTGGCGAAACTTGCATTATTTGGAGTGTACTGTGTACGGCTAATAAACATCAACTTAAACAAACACGAGTAAACACAAGTTTAGGAAATGAACAATAAGTGGAGTAGCTACAGTAGGTGGGCTAACTCATGAAATGTCAACCGAAGTTCCGAAATGCGTTTTCGTTTCGAAAAGATTGATTAACTAGAGTTGTAAAATGAGTCGGCAGGCAACATAATTCCACAATAATTCAGTTACCTCAGCATGCCGGCTTTCGAATGAACTTCCTTGGCGCTGCATGCAAAAGCCACACTCTTTAAAAAACGATTACTTAAATGACATGCATTTTTCTCATTTATTTTTGATGCCCCTAAAAGTCCAATTATATTTCATGGAAAGCATGCATAAAAATCTTCATTCTTTTGCTCATTCGATAGAGTATCACGTCTTCTAATTTTATGCTCAAAGGAGGGATATAATTCGAATTTAAAAAAAACTTTCTAATTGTGGGAATTTTAAATACCATGAAATGGCCGTTAGTAAACCGTCATTTCTCTGCATTTACCAATGTGACTTGTAAAGTTAACAATATGGAACAGTTGACGCGGTAAATGACGTTTTATGTGTCCGCAGCTGGTAGTCGACCATTGGACTGTATGAGCAAACAGTGGAAGGTAGCCTCCGGCCTGTGTCCAACGGCCATGTTTAGTGGCCTAGCATGCGCCCCATGTCTGCGGAGACGTTCTTCACGTAGGGCAGAACACAGAAGATTTCAGGTCTTTCTTTTGCTCACCGTCGGTCTTCGCATGTCCTTGGTACAAGAATTTATTTATGAAGACACGTGCATTTCCACTGGTTAGGAAGGTAACAATCGGGAGAGGGCCCCTAAAAAATACTACCAGCCAAAGCTCGCTGTCTTACGGGAAATGTGGTAATAGGGGTTTTATGGGCAGGGCATATGGATGCGTAAATAAGAACCAAGGTAATTGTGGATAGTTGGCAAATTTGCTTTTCGAGCCGACTTAGAAAGCACATTTCCAACAGACGTTCATGGGCTAGATAAACACTCGAGCACTGGGAGTGGGACGTTTGTTCACGATGCCTTGATACAAAGCTGCCTATTTCTTGGCTTGCAGAAAGGCAGTCCAGGGCGCGCATAAACGGGAATTTTAAGGGACACTAATGTCGCCTTTCGATCGCATTTGCCGTCCTCGATCAGATTTAGACTAGCATCAGGTTGCGTACGACCGGCAGTTTGAATCCGGGTTGCGATAATCACTGAACGGACGCTCCAACATTCAGGTCACAGTATCATGGTCCATCGGATCCGATCAGGAAATTTAGGAGTGGAGTTATTCAATTCGAAGCAATATGTTCCCAGAATGAATTTAAAGCAGGAATAGACAGCAGAATTTATTGGAACCAGTAAATTTCGCGACGGCTTATCAACTGCAGCCTGTCGTTGCATAACACAGAAAACAAATGAGAAATATATAGAGGTTTTAACTTTCACAGAGAAAATAAATATAAAATAGCAAGGTCATCGTATACTGCACGTAGACTAATCAATAAAATGGTTACTTCAAAACGCAACATAGGAAAGAAAATGGGGAAGTTAACACGCCGAGGGATTTCGTAAATCAAAGGGACCAGATCTACCAGGACAAGCTGAGGTTGACTAAGTGGTCTAACTGTTTACATAGGTCGGGTTTCTCCCGCCGTATGTAGGTAGTCTCCAGGTAGCGCAGTAACCGAGGTGTTCGTGCTCCAACTAATTCTGGAAAAGATGTTTTGTGGTTAACCGAATGACCGCTATCAAGGAGGTGTTTTGTAATAGAAGACCGTGGAATCTTATTCTCCTGCTTTAGAAGCCATTTAGGCAGGTTCTCAACTGCCCTGGCTTACGGTTGCCTTTGCGTTCGCCCAATGTACTTGCAGCCAGAAGTGCATGTGAATTCGTAAACATAATTTGACGTGGCGTGCAATGGCCAGGCATCCTTCGCCCCTGCTACTTGGATAGCCTTAGTAGGGCTGCAGAATATGAGTTCAGCTGAGCTGTATGTTCTTCCAATGGCGCATCTCAATCGCCGCTTGATGGTGTTTGAGATGTTGTCGCCCTTAACGGGTAAGGATATTACAACGGGCTTTTTCGGAACTGATTGCTTCGTCAATTTTGGCCGTAGTGTTGCTATACTTTTCGATGAATCGTGTTGGATATCCCCGTTTAAGCAGGGCTGTCTTGAGGCAAGAAATCTAATGGATATCTTACCATTGCACGCCACGTCAAATTATGTTTACGAATTTACATGCACTTGTTCACTGCTCCGCTGTGTGAGGGTTATTCACCCCTTCCCCACCCTTCAAGCGGTTCCAGACGCACTGACCTTACGACGCTCTGACACCCGCGCACCTCCAGGCAGTCAGTAGAGACACCATTCGTCGGGTTGTGCTGCAACACACACTAACCGGATCTGGTGCAGTTGCGAACAAAGCAACTACGTCGGAGAAATTGGGAGATTACTCCGTACGCGACTTGCCGAGCACGCAGCAGCAGTGAGGCGGGGAGACGCTAACTCTCAGGTGGCGGCACACTCGACGGGACCCGGCCATATTTTAAAACTTCAAGAGGCCGAAATCCTCGCAAGGGGTGACAACCGCGTGAGCCGCGAGCTGCTCGAGTCATGGTTCTCAGGCTCGCGATCCATCAACAGGCGCAATGACCTCCCGGCACCGTATTCCGTGCTGAGATTTTTCCTGGATAGGGGAATTAGTCACGTGGGGAGGTCGCGGGCAAGCAATTATCCCAGTGACAGTGAGCCAATTTGCTGAGCAATCGTCACACCAGCATCCAGCACGGATGACGAAATCACGGCCATTAACGACTCGGACGCGGACTGACAAGCCGCCATCGCATCAATTACGACTCCAGCGGGGATTGCGAGAGCTGTTACTTACAGTGCGCATATGGTCCCACGGCAGCCACGTGTTATGAATACTACACTCCTTGTGCCACCATTACCCTTATCTGCGACTGTCTCTGATGATGGGTTCGAGTGAGAATCCGAAAGGTTAAGCCAATAAATTTCTAGTTCCAGTGATCGCATCTTCGTCTTCTTCTATCACCATAAACTAATTCAGGCTCAAGTCACCGTCCCTGCGAGCACCGTGTCGTTGAACATACAACAAATATCGCCGTTCGTGACGATTGAACTTTCACAACAGGCGCTGGCCCATAACTCGGTCCACTGTTAAAAATACTACCTACGGACTTTCCGCAGATAATCTTAACATACAATGTAAATCACTATTGTCAAAAGAGTGACTTCCCCTCCCAATTCTCCACATCGCAGGCGCAGGATCTATTTATGGCATTTGCCAGGACAGCTCTTAACATTTCTGGCTGCATTGGTGAATTTCATCCCCAGGGTTTCCCTTAAAAGTGCCGAATAGCACATGACAGCAGAGGAAAACAGTTGGTTGCTGTTGGGTCGGGCGAACGTGGAGGCTTCTTGTAGTCTGAATTCCGCCAACGTATTCGCTCTTTGAGGACCCGCCTTGGCAGCCGCCTTATGTTTTTAACAGCGTCGGGAGGTTGTTCCATTCCAGACCTGTCCTCTGTCGTAGAATGCATACTGCCCGATATCAGCTGGCATTTCCCTCTACGTCTTGGAAAGGACAAGGTTCGGTTATGCTAGGAATTCTTTTTTCGGGGATACAGCTCTTGTCATTGCTTGACTCTCAGAACCTCACTGCCTCGAAATCTAGATGAACATAGGCTTCATCTCTCATGGCTCACATTTAAGTCAGTCAGTTTAAGTTAGTTTATTAAGGAAATGAGGCTTTCGCCCCTGAGCTCCCTATTCATATCGATAAACAGAAATAGAATCAATAATTACATCAGCAAATGCGGAAATTCAAAAGTTAGCGGTAAGTGTGAGCCAGGTGCAAACTGCCGCCGCTAAAACAATCGTGATTATATGTACAGTAGTTTTACATCGAATGAGCGTCTAGTCTAAACTTAAAGGATCCAGTAGTCCCGGAAAGAACCACCGAAGCAGGGAATCCGTTCAATGCCCCAATGACCCTGTGAGAGAAGGCGTTCTGTCGGACGTCCGAATGAGCCATTTTCCTCTGCAGTTTGAAGAGATGACCACGCAGATTATCAGTCTCGGCAAATCCGAAGAATTCATCAAAGTCTAGGGCGCACTCACGGCCTGTGACAGTCCTGTAGGTTTGAATGAGATCGTTGCGCAGTTGCCTGTAATTGAGAGGAAACAGATTTAGTTCGGTCAGCCTGGTTTCGTAAGGCAGATGATCAATCTGTTTGACCATATTCGTAGCCCTTGCCTGCACTCGTTCCAGTCGTTGATAATCTTTCTTCAACCAAGGTAGCCAGGCCTGAACAGCATACTCTAAGTGAGACCGGACGAATGCCCCAAAGGTTTTTCCGAACAGCTCCTTGTCGATCTGCACAAATCCTCGCCTCAGCGCAAATAACACCCTTATCGCACTTTTGGCTGCCCTTTGACACTGTGAAAATGGTTTAAGCGAGGAGGTCATTAGGACACCCAGGTCTTTCTGTTCCACAACATTTTAAAGTGGCTGATCACCCAGGACGTATTAAAAGGAATCGTCCTCCTTACTGGTCTTTTTGGTGCAGAGTCTCAGGACCACACATTTGTCCACATTACAATTAAGAAGCCAACGAGCTGACCAACTGTTCAGGCGGTTGAGACTGCCTTGAAGCAGTACCTGTCTGCGTCAGATCTGATGGGTCTCCACAGCTTAACATCGTCAGCAAACATGATGGCGCTGCATCCCAGGTCGTCGACGCAGTCGTTAAGGTAAACCAGGAATAGCAACGGCCCTAAGACGGAGCCCTGGGGTAAGCCACCTAGAACGGGGTCAGGAGTTGACCTCGACGCCTCAACGCACACGGTTTGCGATCTCCCTGTAAGAAAATCTGTTATCCATGTCAGCAGCCTTCCTCTTAGCCCAATTTCAGAAAGTTTGTAGATTAGGCGTTTGTGTGGGACGCTGTCGAACGCCTTTTTGAAGTCCGTGCAGATGACACTGACCCTACCATCCTCGTCCATTGCTCGAGTCCACTGCTCCGTCGAAAGCACGAGCGGTTCTGTCTGAAGCCGTGCTGCAGGTCTGAGAGTAACTGGCCCTGCTCCAGGAACTTCATTGTTGCTTTCTTAACTATGGCCTCCATTATTTTAGAGCAGATGCAGGTGAGACTAACAGGGCGGTAATTGTTGGCATTAGTGCGAGCCCCGCCCTTGTATATCGGAAAGATTTATCAAAGTGATAAATATACAAAATCACGAAAGAGAAAGTATTGCGGATAGGTTATAGAGTTTTAAATGGTATAATTACTAGGCAGAATGTTATTACCGACAAAGACAAGGGAGGCTGGAATGGTCATTTCTGGCTTATTAGCCGTCGTCAGCCAGTCATACCCAACCCCGAAGGGTGGAACACCCGAGGCTCGAACTCGCGACCTGTTTGTTAGAAGTCCACGCCTCTATCATTCTGCCTATATCATGCGCCGCCGTGCGGCTGCTGGTTGGGCTCGAGAGAGAGCCCATAAGACACAGCGGAACGAGTGAGTTCTGTAAGAACTATCGGTGAGCGCCCCCTAACATTGTATATTCCCGATCGAAAACCGACAAGGCAACGGGCTCGTGGCCCGGTGAGTAGAGGCGTTGACTTCTAAACCAACAGGTCGCGAGTTCGAGGCTCGGGTATTCCACACTTCGGGCTTGGGTATGGCTGGCTGACGACGGCTAATAAGCCAGAAATGGCCATTCCAGTCTCCCTTGTCTTTGTCGGTAATATTATTCTGGTAGACATCCAGGGTACTGGACACAACCTTTCTTAAGGATTACCTAGTTATCTTAAAACACTAAACTCGTGCGTCTCAGTTTGCAATTTCTTTTCGAGCCAACTGCTATATCACAGTAGTCAGGTAATCAGACGTCAAAATAAGGTTATCCGGATTTTCTGTACCTTCGCACCGTTATTAACGACGTGTGACGCTAAGTTTCCAAAACTGTAGTTATGACGCGCGAAGCTTGATAATCTAGGGTTTAACAAGTCAAGTTGGCAAACACGTGTTTTCGGTAATTCCTCGTCAGGCCAGTACAAGTACATGAAGGAGTGAAAATGTATAAAATTAAAAGTGTTTATAGGTATCTCAAGGGTTATTAAGTCATTAGCACATATAAACACTGTTAATTTTGTACATTTTCATTCCTTCATGTAACTGTATTGGTCCGACGAAGAATTACCGAAAACACGTGGTTGCCAACTTGACTTTTCAAGTGTAGCATGAAAATATTTTCGGAATCTAGGGTTTGCCGACCCGAAATGACGACCCAGCTAGCACAATCAGCACATAGGCAAACGGCGCATGCGGTTGGGACACACGACGCCTTTATTTGGACTATTCGGCGACTTAGAAAAAATCTGCAATCGTTCGCTGCACTATGCCTAACACGGGAGCACAGATACAGGCTCCCTGGCAATAATATCGACACTATCGGCACCGAGTTCATATGACTGATATACTAATAGGCCGCATATATTTCTTAGTACTACTTATTAATATGATCAGCGGTGCCACAGATAGTATTAATGATAGTATATTCGTTCAAATAGGATTATTGGCAATGATGGCATATGTGATAAGAGACGCAGCAGCAATTGCTGTGGTAATATTAGTGGTAGCAGTAGGTATAAAAGTTTCAGTCCCAAAAATGTTATTATGCTCAACAGTCGTGATAAGGACAAGAGCTTGTCGTGGTTATTGTAGAATACATGTAAGGCAGGATGGATTGTAATGGCAATTTCACCAGCGATCGTGTCTCCTCCTCCTCCTCCTCCTCCTCCTCCTCCTCCTCCTCCTTCTTCTTCTTGTTCTTCTTCTTCTTCTTCTTCAAGAAGGTGCTTTGCTAATTCGCACGTTCTTCTGCATCACGTCGGGGTGTAGGACAATGGCAAAAACCATGCGCATGTGGTCCGAAATTCCGCAAGTTTACTTTGGTCACTAAGATCCGGCCTCCTTGTTAGAATGGCCCACATCAAGTTTCTGTGATCGTACAGATTATTTTCACTTTAATCTTCCTAGTCCAATGTAAGACTCAGTGGTATAGTCTACAGTGCTTATAAAACGGGCTACGCGGCAGATGCGCTGGATCGGATCGGATCCTGGCAGGGGTTATCGGGAATGCGCAACATAAAGAATGCCAACATCCGAGGTGTGGTGACAAGATCAGTTGGCGGCTCATGTAGTGCACATTGTGATATCTGCCCCCCCCACCTTTTGTTTTTAGTTAAAATCCTGGTTAAGCGTTTGTCTGGTGTGGACCAGGGGTGTGGTGGTACGCCTAAGCACAGGTTCGGTCACGCCAGCCACCTGCGCCCTCTCGTGCCCCCAGTCTTCTTGACCTTCTCCTGACGCCGGACCCAGGTGGAGGAGGAGGGAGCGCGGTAGATGCTGCGCAAGCCTGCAAGTCACCGTGCCTGTTTCACTTTGCTGCGAGCACACAGTGGACATCGTTGGACATGATAGTCAAACCGTCGCGGAGTCAACCTAACTGACACCTTATGAGAACCGGTTATCACCTTTGGGACCCGGGGTGAGACTGCGGCAGTTGGAGATAGGCTTAGGGTTTGAAGGTTCAGGGTTGAGGTTGAAGTTAGGACACTGGAATGTGTACCCTTGTTGTCAACAGACATCGTGGTTGTGTCTGGTGTCCTTTTCCAGGGCCCCGATGCCTCAAGGTCATTCACCCCCTGGAACGAGCCACTTCAGAAGCGCTGACCTGAAGCCACTCGACCGATTTCAGCTCGGACGCAATATTTTAGGGTGTTTGGAAGCTCAGTTCACAACCGCCGATGGTACACGTTTGACACCTCGGTTTATAGAACTTTGGAGCATCCAGTTGCTGGCTTACGTCGTGTCAATTGGGTTCCCTGTCGCCCCTCCTTCACTGCGGTCGTTAGTTGAAATACTTGGCAAATGTACGTGGTGAATCAGGGGGTTTTGGTTGTACGCCTAGGTGCGGATTTACGCCGCTCTCTCTCCCCTCGGTCTTCTTAACTGTGCCATAGCACCGGACCCAGGTGGGGGGGGGGAGAGGGTGCTGTAGATGCTGTGCAAGTCTGCTATCACGCGCAAGTCACAGTGCACGACCACCTCGCCCTGCTGCAGAGCACACAGTGGACATCGTCGGCCACGGCGGTCGAACTGTCGGTATAGTCCACAGGGGCGGAAGTAGGATACGGTCCCGAAAACGTTTCCGGAGGCCATGACGATCGATTCGCCCGCCATCCCTGCCACAGTCTTTCGCATGACGATTTGTTTCCTTTCTAATTATGATAATGAGACGTTGGAATGAAACAAATGCAGTTAGGCAAAGGTAAGTTTAAGTGCTACTGGAACGTTACTTTTGTCAGATGGTGTAACACCTCCATTACATAATAATATAATAATTCAGTTACCCCAGGATGCCGGCTTTCGAAAGAAATTCTTTCCGGCAGCATGCAAAAGTTATACTCCGTAAAAAATGACTACTTAAGTAGTACGCAATTTTCTCATTGATTATCGATGCCCTTGAAAATTCAATTATATTTCATGGAAAGCATGCATCAAAATCTTCATTCGGGGATGGTCGACGGGCGTTTTGTCTGCGTGCTTTATGAGTCACCATTCCGCCGGGGGGAGGGGGGGGGAAGGTAATTGAATCTTCATCGGGTGGTCGGTTTGGTGGTTCTTGTTCTTCTTCACCGAGTAAACTCGCCGTTAAGCTGTCTCTGTATGGCCTTCTTAAGTCCGGTATGGTTGTTTGTTCCTGAGCTCCACGATTGTAATGACGTAGGACTTTGTAAGCTGCAGGAAGGTCCAGATGCCTGTTGATAGAGTAAGCATAGGTGAACCACGCCTCGAGAATTAGCTGTTCTGTTTTTGTGTTGCCCCGGCCTAAGATGATAGCTCGCTGGAGATCGAAAGTATGCTCAGCTTCTCCAATGTGTGTTGTTAACTGAGAGTTTGGGCTAACCTCCGAGTAGCCGATTTGTGCTCTTGTAGGCCAGTCTTAAATTTCCGCCCGGTTTCTCCCACATATTTGCAGTCGCCCTCATTGCAATTTATTTTGCAGATGACTGCTGAGGTTTCGGCGGGTGGCCATGGGACCTTAGGTTGCATCAGACGGCGTCGAATTGTTGCCTGGGATCGGTGGACTATGCCTACTCTAGCAGGTTGTAACAATCCTCTTCAAACAAAGAGACGGAACGGACCCCAACTGAGGGGAGCGCCATAAGGGGCACAGTAAGGAGCCATTGCAGCCCGACTTAAAGTCCTGAGAGGGGTATCGAGTTATCCCGTCAGATGACAGAATTCGAAGCCACGGCATATTGTGCCCCGTTATTTTTTAATAGCTGGCCAGGTTGCTTATAGTGACGTTGTGTGCTAGGCACGTATTGACGCCCACACGAACTGGACTTCACCGAAATCGGACCTCCAATACAAGATAGTTGTAATATGGGCTATACAAAAGAAACTGACGAAAGAAGATGGCACTATGGCTCTACATTACTGACTTTCAATCCTCCGACTGTTCTGAGGCGAAATGAGCTGATGACCCATTGCACGTCAATTGGCCAAACTTTAACCCAAATCCGAAAGTTGCTCCGGCATGTTTATCCGAAAATTAAGGTAGACGTATTGACTGTCATATAAAGTATCTTGCAACTTCGAAACGTCTGTTTACTCTGTTTCCTCGACTTAGATCTGTGGAATTACGAGACCATGATAAGCGCACCTGTCGGCAACAACTTTGACCGGAGGGCAGCATTCGATCGAAGTGGCCCAAGAACTAAACGTCCGGTTCAGTTATGGAAGAGGGGCTAGTCGCATCGAGGCACTCGCAGACGAACGATCTACGTCAGGCCAGCCAGCACACACTCTCCAGCCCTCCATCTGGCTCAGGGTGGCATACGGAAGACAGTGTGCAACTGGCGCTGCATAAGCCTCCTCCATTATAAACCGTTTTCCACATGGTTCTCAGGGGTTAGTAGTGGTGGTGGTGAGTATCGACCGATGTAGAGCAGCAGCAAAGACCTGGAAGAAACACTCCCCCCTTTAGCTGGAATTCGTGGACGCCTTCTTGTATGGATCCAGAGCTTTTTGACTGGACGGTCCCAAAGAGTGCAGATCGAACGCCAACAGTCCTCAGAGGTAAGCGTGGTGAGTGGCGTCCCACAGGGCTCAGTCTTAGGTCCTACGTTATTTCTAGTTTTCATAAACGAATGCGTCAAGAACATAGACTGTGATGCCATCCTGTTTGCCGACGACACAAAATTGTGGAAAGTTATTCACAATGCGGCGGACGCAGACCACCTGAAAGCAAACTTGAACAAGCTCGAAGCGCTGGCTTATGCCCTTCAATATAACAAAGTGCAACTTTCTTCAAAGGCGCTCGCCTATATTTCCCTTAATAAACTGAAATTGAGAGAATTCTAAGCCACTGCATATTGCGCCCCGTCATTTTTTTATAGCTTTCCAGGTTTCTTATAGTGAGGAAGATGCACTGAGTGACGCCGTGTGCTAGGCACGTATTGACGCCCACACGAACTGGACTTCGCCGACATCGGACCTCCAATACAAGATAGTTGTAATATGGGCTATACAGAAGAAACTGACGAAAGAAGATGGCAGTATGGCTCTACATTACTGACTTTCAATCCTCCGACTGTTCTGAGGCGAAATGAGCTGATGACCCATTGCACGTCAATTGGCCAAATTTTGACCCTAATCCCAAATTTGCATCGTCATGTTTATCGGATAATTAAGGCAGGCGTATTGACTGTCACATCAAGTGTCTTGAAACTTCGAATAGTCAGTTTACTCTGTCTCCTCACCTTAGATCTGTGGCGTTACGAGGCCATGATGAGCGCACCTGTCGGCAACAACTTCGACCGGAGGGCAGCACTCGGTCGAAGTGGCCCAAGAACTAAACGTCCGGTTCAGTTATGGAAGAGGGGCTAGTCGCATCGAGGCCCGCGCAGACGAACGATCCATGTTAGGTCAGCCAGCACACTCAGGTACCTCTCCAGCCCTCCATCTGGGTCTGGGTGGGAAAGGGAAGACAGCGTGGAACTGATGCTACACAGGCCTCACCCACTACAACCCGTTTTCGGCACGGTTCTCAGGGGTTAGGGGTTAGTGGTGGTGGTGGTGGTGGTGATGGTGGGTATCGACCAATATAGAGCAGCAGCAACGACCTGGAAGAAACACTCCCTCCCTTTAGTTTGGGACATTCACTGACCGTTGCATCTTCAGGAATTCCTCCTCATGGAGTCTAGTTGTTCCAAAATCTTTTCCTTTTCTCTTCTGTTTCAGTGGTCTTTTGTGTCGAAATTACGCAGAATATTCGGCGCCTGCGATCTTCAGCTGCTTTCAGCACTTAATCAGTATTCTCCTAACCCGTTTCCCTGATCATTAAAGAGTACACCTATCTTATTCCGTCTTCTCTTAATAACTCACGTCCTCTTCTCCTTTACAAAAGTTACCACAAAGCAAGAGGCCGATCGGATACTCGGCTAAGATTTATTTGGATCTGAATTCAACGAGTTCTGCGTACACGTTCCGGAGTTTTCTCAGACCTTCAAGTGTTTATGGACCCGACACGACAATTTCACCGCCACCAAGATTTGCGTGTACCATGCACCCGTCCGGTCAGCCCTTCTGTACGGTCCTGGATTGTGAGCGGGGAAGATGAGCGAACACCGGGGGTAGGATTAAATTACCGACAATGACAAGTGGGACTGGAACGGCCATTTCAAGCTTACTAGCCGCCGTCAGCCAGTTAAATCCAACCCCGAGGTGTGGAACACCTGGTGCTCGATCCCGCGACCTGTTGGTTAGAAGTTCAATGCCCCTAACCACTGAGTCA